AAGTACAATGATGTACACCTGAAATTTTTACAATGTTATAAACCAATGTTACTGCAATAAACAAAAAATTAAAAAAATAAAAAAAATAAAAAAAAAAAAATAAAAACAAATGCCTCCTGATCTCATTGATGACTCCTTGAAGATTATGTTTGTGACAACAGCAGAGCTCCAGTGGATAATTTGGGCATCATAATTGGGCTAAACTGAGTACCCCTGAAATGGTGTCTAGGTGTGACTTCAGATGAATTCTTGAGAACTCATGGCCCCAGGGAAGATCTGGCTTCCTTAATGACCTTGGAGACCAGGCATTTCAGAGATGCAAATGGGAAATGATCCTTTTATGGGAATGGATCAAAATGGGAAAGGAAAGGCATGAGGGCATATTGTGGGAACAAGTCCTAAGGGGTGTGTGTGCGCGCGTGTGTGTGTTGTCTTCTGTTGTGTGTGTGATGCCTTCCTCATGCTGTTCTGTTGCTCCCTATGTCTAAGAGTGTTTTCTATTTCTCATTTGCTAAGAAACAGTCTCATCTCTTAAACTCTTCAAATTCCACCTCTTTCACAAAACTGTAGTAGGCTAGGGGTATGCATGATAGTTCTTGCCTGCCTCAGACCTATTTTTCTTATAGGGCCATATCAATTTACCATAAAAGAAATTAAAAACAAGCTTTTATAAGCAAATACGTAATCATGCAGAGAGCCCAGTACCCTTCTGTGTTAGATTTTTAAGCTAGTCCAATCAGGCTGTTCTTACCATCCCTGCATCGGAACCATTCTCTTCAGGTTCCCTGAGACTCCCACCCCACAATGTGCCAAATCCAACGGTTCATTTCCTGGTCTTCTTTTGTTGACTTCTCACCAGCATTTGACATGGTTGCCTACTCCCTCCTTCCTGAGCAAAGAACTTTCTGTTCTTCCATGACACCGCATTCTCTTGTTTTTCTTGCTCCTTCAATGGCCGCTCCTTCTCAGTCTCTTTGGCTGGCACCCCCTCTTCTTCCCTGTCATTTTTGCATGCCCCTGGCTCAGGCCTGGCTCTCTACTCTATGTATGTCCACTCCTTTGGTGATTGCATGCTAACGCATGGATTTAAATATTATCTATATGCTGATGATTTAACCAGCTCCCAAACTCTTCCCGGAGCTTCATGCTCATATATCCAGCACCTTACTTGATAGCTCTACCTGAATATCTAACAGACACCTTGAACTTCACTTGTCAAATATACAACTCTTGATTCCCAAGAGAGTTCAGACTAGTAGGTAGAGAAGAGATGTCATTGTATCAACATTTTACTGCATCAACATTTACTGCCCCTCAGCCCTGTGTTCCCAAGGCTAAACTAGCTAAATGTAGAAAATGGTCATTGTTAAGGGGAAATGTACTTTCAAATAAGAAATGTGGGAGACACATGTTTGTTGAAAATTGACTGAATTGGGAACTACATATACATACTTGTTATTGATTAATAATAACATTTAACAAGTGCTTCCTTTGTGCCAGGTACTGTTCAAAGTTACTTACATGTTTTATATCATTTAATCCTTGCAATAATCCTAAAGGTAGAGATTATGGTTCCATTTTCATGTCAGAAAATGGAGGCACCGAGAGGTTAAATAACTTGCTCAAGGTCACAGAGCCAGTAGGAAACAGCTAAGCTTTGAACCCAGACAGCCAAATATACTCTAGGGAGTCATGGTGAAAATTACAGTGTTATTTCCCACCCCAGGGTCATGTTCCTACTCAAATGACATTCCTTGCCTCGTATTCTATTACCAGATTCTGGTCTTTAACCTAAAGTGTGTATAAAAACCTTATGCTAGAGTAATAGGAAACAAAAGGAATTAAGTGAGTTCTACTATACACAAACATTTCAGAAACAGTTTTTAAAGAAGGAACGTTTATAAATTACATTAAAAAATAAAGGCAACACTAGTTGTGTGCTGCTTCTGCTAACATAGGCATGGAATGTGGAACAAAGACGATCTCAGAGAGTGAGCCAATGGGAAGTCTTAACTGAAATATGTAGCTTCTGCACCTTTCCACTTGACACAAGTCCTTGTGAGAATTAACTAACCAATGACTGCAAACCCTCAAGCCTTTCCCTTGAATGACTTGGTATATGCTCAGCTAATTAGATTATTGGGGTTCAAACCTCCAGCTTGGCACAGCTGCCCCTGATCACACACCCATGGAGTTATGTGGTTTGCCTCTTCTCCCCGTTGACACAGAGACACGATCCACTGGACACTGAATTCTACAAGTTATTAGTATAACAGCTCTAAGCAATAAAAATATTGATGTGGAGAAGAAAATTGGGAAAGCCAAGTCAGAAGCTGAAAAGCACTCATTTCCATAAGTACTTTATTGAAAGTGTTATTTTCAGAAAATGCCCAATTTCTGTTGGAAAAATTTAATGAGAAATCTTTTTCCTTTCAAACATATTGCATTACTCAGTCTAAAAATAAAAGTAAAAAACTTCCCAAAGATCGCTCTTTTCATTAAAAAAAATTCAAACACATGAGGTCCGATATTTTTGGTAGTTTTTAAAGACAGGTTTTCATAAATATTATATGCGATTCTTTTGAAACATTTCCTTTCCTCAATATATACCAACACACTTATTGCTAAAAAACTGTCCAAAAACATGTTTATTAAACAATGAAATATATACAAGATTGTGTAAGGACTACTGGTTTCCACTAAAACATCCTCATCATCATACATTTTACTACAGTATTAATCATGTTTTTACACTTTTGAAAAAAAAGACCAATTTTTAAAAAAGTTAACTAACCAATCCAAATGTTAATGCTCACCTAAGAAACTTAGTTTCTTCCTGTCTTCCTATGTTTTCTGTGTAGTGTGTAAAAAAGCAGTGAATACAATATTAGATAAAACAGAGCAAAGAAACAATATAAGCTGATGTTTCGAGTTCCTAGTTTTCTTGTGAACACCATAAGAAAAAGATATGTGATCTCTTATTTAATTGTTATTTAGCGTTGAAGGCCAACAGGAAAATATAGCCAGATTTTTAAAATAGAAACAAGAAGCTCAGAGTCCACAGAGATGTCTGTTATATAATATTAGCCTAGATGAGTTTATCTATTCAGGGGCTAATGAGAAGACCATTTCATTCTTTGCTTAATGTGCTGAAAACATTTCCTTTTAAAGGCAGAATCTCAGTAAAGAGCAATTCATATGCCTGGAAGCCTGAAAGAGTGTTTTGTGGTGAAAGCCACCCGTAAGTGTACATTATGTTTGGGAAATGCAAATACGTACTACAAGAAGTAGGTGATGTCGACTGTGGCTCTTCAAACCGTCACAGAACTTTCCTGCCATGCAGGAGAAATTCTGAAGCTATTAAAAACTGTCTGTCACGCTAGATATGCCTTTCAAAAAAGAAGAACAGAGAAATTACTTACATCTCGGAGTTCCAACGCAAGGCTCGCTTCTCCACCCGACAGACCTCTGCCTGATTCTTCACTCTGGCTTGACAGCTGGTTTAATCTGCGAGGCAGGATGGAATGCGTGGTCCTGCACTTGCTGTTCTTTTCCGTTTGCAGAGGGCCAGCGGCCCTGGTCATCTCCGTGGCAACCAGGAGGAAGCTGCTGGCCTAACAGTTTCATTAACCAGACAGCAGGAGAGAACCTGTCTTGGTGACTGCTGGCCACACTTTTGGGTGTCTAAAAGTGGAAAGTTTCCAGAAGGAACTAAAAAGACTGCTGCTGTGTGCTGACCCCGAAGGGCTGACAGTAATGGAAGAAATTTCACTTGAGCAGGAAATGAATGGATTAAGTGTAGAGCATGGAGACTCCTTGATACTTTTACTTTCATGATTTGTTCTACTCTTTTTGGCCTGATGCATTGTTACTTATGGCAAATGCCCGAACTAGGGTAAAAACTGTCCCATCGTGGTTGTTCCAAGGAGAAAATGAACTCATTTCAACTCCACAGATGGAGTCCTGTTCTCTCTTTTTAAGTTCATTTTTAAAAATGTTAAAAGCCACAAAGCAAATAAATATGTAAAAAATGTTCTGTATACATTAGCTACTGAAGGCTCACTAAGTACAAGAGAAATCAGATGGATGGTGGTGATGGCGGAAAGTCTTGCTAATTAAATACACTAGGAAACAAGAGCAATTGATTTTAATTACCTGGAGGCAGATTATCCAATCTTTTAACGAAGAAAGCACCTCATTAGGGAAATTCATTCATTTATTTATTATTTGTGTGGTGAACCCTTACCCCATGTATGCACTGTTCCAGGAGGTTTACGGGTCAACAGAGATAAATGTCATGTTCTTGTCTTCAAAGAAGTTATAATATGGAAGGAGAGATTATATAAATTGATTGTGGGAAATGTTTGAAGGGAGATGCAAAGAAAATATGTGGGAGTTTCAGATAAGATGGGGCTAGGTTTTGGCAGCGGGATTGGGGAAGTCCTTCTAGAGAGGTAGTTTGACAGATTAAAGGCCTTATAGGATGGCTCGGATTTGAGCGGTCGGATACAGGGGAAAAGGACAATAAAGCCTCATGGAGTGATCCTTTGGTCAATGGAGGATGTGGGCTGATGATGGATCAATGTTTCCTCCTTTCTCACCCCTACAGTCCTGACATGTATGTCATCTGGCTTCTCAGGGGGTCCATGAGATCAAGCAACTCAAGAAATTAAGAATATTGTTGGAGCAAAAGTTTGGAGGTGGGAGAGTACCAGGCCTACTCAGCTCTTTTGAAAGCCAGAGAATCATAGTCAGGAGCAAGAGGATCAAGAATAGAAAGAATGCAGTATCATTGATGTTTAGTTTCAGCAAAGCAAACATATAAATTCTACCGTATGAGCGGAACGTGAACTTTGGTTCAAATCTTGACTCTGCTATCTTCTTAGACACTATTGTTTAAACTTTATGAGCCTCAGTTTTCTTATCTAAAAAGAGGGGATAGCATTACTTCATTGAAAGGTGAGGTGAGGATTAAATGAGATGATATATGTGGACAGGGTGTCTGAGGATGGAGGAATGGAAGGCTGACCAACCATACACCAGCTTTCCTGACTTTCCAGAACAATTGTGGCTAATACAATGGTTTAGCACACTCAGCCTCTGTTCCCACACCTTTCTCTTCTGCCTGCCTCTGCTATAGAGACTGGAATGCTACAGTACTCAACTTGCAATGTCCTCAGCTACCATTGCAGCTGGGGCTCCAGACATGATTTAAGTTTTATTGATCATTTACCCTTGATTCGGAACTGAGTCATGTGGAGAGAGAACCATGAGATTTTGTTTGGACATTGAGTTCGGTGTGGAGCGAGATGAGAGTTCCTCGCATCTCTCTTGCTGGCATGGGTCTCAGCAGAATTGGCCTAGTCTAGAGCTAGTGCTCTGGGGGTGGCTGTCTGAATGGCTTGCTTCCTGGTTGTGGCATATGTGTCATGAGTCGGAGCTGATGACTGTGGCACTGGCTTCCTGTTGAAGAAGATGACCTCTTAATTCAGCAACTTCCTGATTGTGGAAGAGGCAGCAGCTCCCTTGATGGCCCAATTCTATGATGACTTTCTGAGTTTAGCCTAGAGTCTCTTCAGCCTCCCAATCATTCAAGAACTGTCTATATGTCTTAAGAAACTCCTAGCTGTCTAAACTAGCCAGAGTGGATTCCATTGTCTGTAACCAGCATGAGCCCTGATTGACATAATAGTGACTAGTTCTGGCCAATACAAGGCAAGTGAAGTTTGCTGATAGTGCATCTTCTTCCTGCTCGAACATAGACACAGATTAGAGGAGCAGCTCCTATCACTAAGGAGGGCAGAGCAGGAACATGAAGGAGCCTGGTGCCTTGAGGACTTCACTGAATCCCTACAGCAGCTCTGTACTGCCCATTCTGCGAGATAGAGATAACATCACCCGATCACGACTGGTCTAATGACTAAGATAAACTGCATAAATTATTGAGCATAAACTGTGCACAAAGAAGGCATTCAATAATGTTAGCTATTATAATTATTACTCTTTTCCACTTTCTCTATTTATGATGTCAGTACCTCCCAGGACCTCTTGTTGAGTGGGGGACTGGGACAAAGGCAACGAGGGTGTGGAGGTGGGTTCCTCCCTGGAAACTTGAAGGCCAAGCAAACAGCGGCTAATGAAATATGGCTGGATCTCTGTGTGTGGCATGTTAAACATTTACCACGGGTTTTATATCACTCCATCTTTCTAAAACATTTACTTCCACTTGCTCTTTGTGTTAACCGGGTCGCAGAGTTTAAGTTGATTTAGCAAAAATGAATGTTGGGAAGACGAGTGAAACCACACCTTTGACTGCCTGTTTGGTTCAGCTGCAGAATCAAAGGGTGGTGGACAAGTGTTCACGTGGGCTTGAATTCTAGTTTTGTCCTAGACTAATCTTGTTTTCTTCCTTTCTTTTTAATCACAAGAGCAATGCAGGCTACTGATAGCACATTCAAATAATACCCAGTGTATTAGGTTAACAGTGAAAATCTACACCTACCTCTCCAACTTATCCTGCAGAAATAACGCTGGTGTAAGTCTGCATTGAAGCAAATCTTGCTTTGTCTTCAGACTATAACAAGTGCTTTGATTGTTAATTAACATGCTGGTTCCCTAAACTTTTGCAACCAGGCCCAAAGCTCCACTGTTTCCAACAGGCTTTCTCCATGAATTATCATCTGAAGTCTCCTACCCATGGCTTAACCACCTTCAGTCATTACCGTATCTTCTATTACTGTTTGTATCGTCCTGGGCAACTTCAGGAACTATCTCAGGTTCTTTCTTTCCTTCCCAACTCCTTCTGTGGCATCATCATCTATATTATTCACTTCGCTGCAGGATACAGACATTCATGTCCTCACCCAGTAGCACTGACTGTGCTCTAGGTCTTGTCCTCAGTATATGGCTCTGTTCCACCTTCAAGATGCCACTGCTTCCTTTTTGTTCTTTCTTCCAGGCTCCTGCTCTGCTCCACTCTCATAGAAACCTCCATATGTCAGTGCTTTACCTCATCTGTTCTATCCACTCTTGACTCTGTGGTCAGTGCTTCAATGCTGCTCTCCCCACTGCTCTGATGATCCCTTATCCAACCTTTGTTGTATGCTCCATACCAGCCCGCCCCTGGACTACCCCTGTCATCTGCTTTCTCAGCTCCTACTCTTAGGGTGCAGGCACTCGTAGAGAAAATGCAAAGAACTATAAGTTCATAATACTTGGCTTCAAATGAACCCCTGCCACTATCCCGCCATCCTTTCAGTCTGCTCTTGCCCAGTGGCTTTGATAATTTTTCTCTATTTCTATTGAATACTCATCCCTACCACAGCATCCTCATTCTTGTAAGGTGGGCTTGTATCTTATCTTCCTGAGAGGAGCCAGTGACCTGGTCTGGGTTTTCTTATCATCCTGCTCACATCGATATATATCTTCTTAAACTGCAGACATTTTGGATCAGGCATCTCTTATGCACCACTCAGATCCTTTCAGCCACACTTGTCTTTTATTCCAGCCACCACTGGGGTGACCAGTTCTGCCATGGGTCCAACCAGCTGTGCATGGAAGCAACCTGCGAACACCTGTTGCCTCCCATCCTAAGGCTTCTCTCTTTTCACTGTGGCTTGGGACACTGCAGACACACCTCGACATCCTCATAAGTGCAACCTGGAAGTGCTGGGGAGTTAATGCCTCGTAGAGTATTCTTTGACCAATGATGGGATGGAAGCTGATGGATAAATGCATCCTCCTGTCTCACTCCAGACTGGCAGTCCTGAGACGCATGTCATATGGCTCCTCAAGTGGTCCATGGGATCAACTAACTCAGTTAACATACCTTGTGCTGCTTCTCACTGCTTTGCTCTCCTTCACTCCTGCTTCTTGGGATCACAGTCCCTAATAAAGTACTTACAGGTGTGTACATTTCTGGTGTTCCATTCTCTTGGGAAATCTGGCTAAGCCATATCCTTTATTCTTCTTTCCAGATCTAAAATAAATTCTTCCTCCTCTGAGCTAAAAACCAGCCCTTCCCATTTCCTGAGAGATGGAGAGATCATCTTTTATAATGATATTCTCACCTCTTCTAGTAAGTAGAATCTCAATAGTTTTAAGGAATGTGTGCTGAGAGCTTCAAAAATCCCACTTTTTGAGTACCTCTCATATATAATTACTTCTGTAAAATGAAGAGACTACCTGAAACATCAACATGTCTGAGACCCTTAGATGGTTTTATAAAGTACTAAAGTAATTTCTCATAGTACAGCACCTTAATAGCAACATTATCTGTGAGCTGACCTGGATCTACAAAGAAGTGGAGTTCCTCCCACTTTATGATAAAGCGTATACAGAGATTAGTAGAGAATAACAGAGGCACCATATGATACAGATGTTGGGCAGCTGGCTAGGCTTGCTCTCCATAAGTGACTCACTCCTGCACAGCAGTGTCATAGCAGACGTGATTCTAAGTGGTCTTGGCAAAATTTAAAAATTACTACCTGTCTTGGATTGTGGGGGTCAGTGACAAACGGTAAGAACATGAATATTGAAGCCACAAATGCCAGGGATCTACTGTACTTTGTATCTCTAAAACTCTACTTCCTGGAGTTGGACTTCAGATATGCACAACCTCCTATCTTGAAAAAATAAACTTTCACTTGGCTTTATAGTGCCCCTCAGCTACCATTCTGTTGTCAGATAGATCTACCGAAACTTCACTCTCCAGGACTTCTCATGACTTTCTTTTCAAATCCAGTGATTCTTTCTAAGCCTTAATCTACATACCCTCTCTGTGG